AGCTAGTAGTAGCTAGTAGTAGCTGGAAGTAGCTAGTAGTAGCTAGTAGTAGCCAGTAGTAGCTAGTAGTAGCTGGAAGTAGCTAGTAGTAGCTAGTAGTAGCCAGTAGTAGCTAGTAGTATATAGCTAGTAGCTGTTGTAGTAGTGGTGGTGGTGGTGGTGGTAGTAGTAGTTGTAGCAGCAGCAGCAGTAGCAGTAGCAGTAGCAGTAGCAGTAGCAGTAGCAGTAGCAGTAGCAGTAGCAGTAGCAGTAGCAGTAGCAGTAGTAGTAGTAGCAGTTGTTGTTGTTGGTTCTTGCTCATGCTGTTGCGAACGGACCTCGTTGCGGGGTTCAATTCGTTGGTGTCACGATAAGGGCTCTGAGAGTGAGCTATGATCCAAGGTACCACGGGCCTGCATAGCAGGTTGTGCTACCATCAATCCGTTGGCATTCCTGCTTTGCAGAATGCACATACCTTGCAAGTGCTCCGCCTCAACCGCAACCAATAGCATACGACTCAGTTGAAGGTTTCTGGTCCAAGAGTTCGAGCCGTTCCCGCTGCACAGATCTACGACTGAGCGCTGCCCGTGAAAAGGAAGTCCCAGTTCGTGTGCCAGCAATGGGAATAGGGGGGGAGTGCAATTGTCAACTACTACCCCATTGGCAGCTCCAAACTATATCTAACAGCTCTGTGAGGTGAGCAACCAAGACAACATCGACAACAAACCCTCACGCAGTAGTAAGTACTCGCACCAGTACCAGTACTAGCACCAGTAGTAGTAGTAGTAGTAGTAGTAGTAGTAGGGGTAGGAGTAGGAGTAGGAGTAGGAGTAGGAGTAGGAGTAGGAGTAGGAGTAGTAGACCTAGTAGTAGTGGTGGTAGTAGTAGCAGTAGTAGTAGAAGCAGTCGTAGTAGCAGTCGTAATAATAGTCGTCGTCGTAGTTCTGTTGTCGTGTTCTATTCTGAGCAAAAAAGGGTTCGAGCGGACCCAATTGATTCAACCTGACTGGAGCGAGGCCTCGTGAAAAAGGCGCAGAAGCGAAAGAAGAGCCTCGTTGCCGCTCTGCTGAGCTTACGAATGAGCGTGCGACACACTGATGGCATTGCTGCTGTTCTTGTCACTTGACATGGTTAAAGTGTACGGGATTCAGATTCAGGCTTCGGCAGCTGATGCTAAATTGACGCAGGGTTTCAAGTCCGCAGCGGAAACTCCCAACACCTCGGGGTCTCTTGGGCGACAAGATCCTCGGCGTCGACCACACCAGATCTGGTCTGCTTTCGCTTTCCTTCAACCGAATAAATAGATAGAAAAAGGCGACGATGGAAACGGCAACTGCAGTCACAGTAACCAGCATAGCCGCTACCGGAATCAGTATCATCTTGATGAGCATATAGACTATCATCATCTTCTTCATCGTCTGGAGAAGCTGTCCGCATTCTGGAATTCCGAACATTTGCTTCTGGAACAAAGAATTTGGCCACTCACGGAAATTCGTTCTGACTCGACCTGAACGCCAGAGAGCAATGAGAAAATGTTCCACGAATTCAACTGTAGGTTCTTCAGGATTCGGCTTGCCGGGTTTAGGATTCGGGCTTCGACGCTCAATGTATTGAGAATGATGCTCAACAGAATGAGACCACGAATTTCGCCACAGTTCATAGCCTTGATACGACCTGGACATCTGACATGGTGGAACTCCCGTTGCAATTCGAGTTTTCGTGCTTGGCCACTGACGATCGGCCGAAAGCCCAAGACCCAGAATCTAACGGTTCGAGCTGCTGGGACACAGCAACCATTATACACCATACACAGCTTCTACTACTGCATTCACAAGTGTAGGTGTGTCTCCTCTAAACCCTGAATCTCGAAATTGGCCCCCTACAATGAAAAGAACCAGCGACAGGAAAAGATCGATGGCCCCTCTGAAGCAGACAAGCTGCTTCCTCGGACGCTGGAGGATTCCCCCAAAGCTTTGGCATGGGGTTAAGGTGGCGAGGCGAGTTCGGGGTTTGACGTGTCCCTGTTTAGGAATCCTTCCGCAGGAGAGGATGAATGCCAGGCGCATTGCCTGGGCCTGAGTCGCACACATGTCACAGCCTGGCTTGATGGGGCGTTTGAGTTGTGTTGTCTTCAGATTCTTCTCCCCAACCACCCCCTCCCTAGGTGCGTAACGAGCCTTTGCATAAGCCTGCGTCGTAGCATTTTTCAGGAGAATCGTGCATCACTCGCCAAGTCGAACAGAAAACCATCCTCGCTTCGATCTATCCGTTCGCGCATTCAGGTGGTGGTCTTGGAGAAATGTGCCTTGGAGAACGTGGCTCCACGCAAGGCGATTGTGGAAGAACAGCTCTCCTTGATCGACTCCTCACACGAACATCCAGTGTGCGCGGGTTCATACAGGAAGCCGTCAACCAGGAATCCTAAGCCGAGATCCTGCAACCTACTTCCTGAAATGAGGAGCCCAGAATTTCTCCAAGGCTTGTCTCCTACAAGACAAGCCCGGAAGGTCGCGAGTTTTGCCCTGCCAGGGCGCTTTGGAGTTGCTCAACTCCGACGACCACAAGGCGAGCCGTTTCAGCCCGCACCGGAGCGCCAGTCCCATTTCCCTGTATTCTATCCTGGCTAGCCAGCACTTTGCTGTGCCGGATGTTTGCATTTCTTGCCTGCCGCACCCGCTTTCCATAGGTCCTCAAGTCCTCAACCATCGACCCTGGACTTCCCAAACTGAAGCGCGGCCTGTTCAGGGCATTTGCCTCAAGACTGGCCGCGATTTGGCAGACGTCAGGCTTGCTCCTCAATCTTCGCAGCTAGCCTCCCAGTTTTCCTGATGACGAGGCTGATTCGACTTCAAACATTCCAGAACCCAATCGCAGGGTTAACATGTGGAAAAGACGTTGTGTTGACACTGCAGCCTTGTGATTTACAGTGGAGGGCATAGCGTAGGCCGTTGTTCGAATGTTGAAGACTGCAAGCTTTTAGGGACCAGGTTCTAAAGGTGCAATGTAGCGTGCCAGGTCTGAGTTGGATACCAGATGGGCCGGGAATCCTCCACATCAAGCTTAGCTTCGCCGCCAACCTGAAGCAATAAACGAGGTAATGGTAGCCGCACATAGCCAGGCCAGACATCACCCACCAGTGCCTGATGACTCTGCTAGACAGCCCCTTGAACAAGGCGCCTGCATACGGAGTAGCAATATTGTGAGGTTCTGTGATGCCTTTCTTGAGTTGTTTGTTTTTCTGTGGCCCGGAGAGTAGGAACAGTCTTCCATCAAAAAGGCCTAAGGTCTTGGGCATTGGGAACATTCAGTGTGCCTGGGGATTCATCAAGAAATCCCCTCTTGCGAGCCCTGGAGAAAGCGTTGGTCGCGCGTGCTAGGTTTGTTTCCCGGGTTTCGGAAATCCTGAAAATTACGGTTCAGGGTTTTCTGGAAGTTTAGTTTGCAATTTGGGCGTGTCTTGCGTGGCACCGCTGCTAGTAGCCTAGAAACGCCTACCGTTCCGTGCCGCCCTTAAACATTCTCAGCTCACGAAGGCCATTTGCTTTCAGATCACATTTACTCTTGGGCAAACGCCCATCCAGAAAGCAAGGCGGCTTTGTCGGGCATCCCTGCGTTGCAGGAATCTGTAACGTGAGAGCACTAGCACGAAGCACAAAAAGCAAGACGGCCTCAGCTAGAGCCGCTGCGAGAGCAGCGCGATGGATCAGGGTCCCCGGCTACATTAAGGCCCTAAGTGGTCTCACCAGAGTCCCCGGTGGCAGGCAGGAAAGCTGCTTATCTATATCCACACCGCGAAGAACGTGCTGATAGAGGCGTGGAGCCAGTCCTTCGGGCAGACGGCTTGAGCAGTTAAGAGATGTTGGAGCGGGACGGATTCGTTGAAGCAGGAACGAGATGATGACCGAAAGCACTACTTACAATCGTGTGGGCCCGGGTATTGTAAATCTTTAAAAGCTCTGCAGCTTCTGGGCTTTGATGAGTTCGCACCAACGGTCGTTCTTCACCAGGGAGCTGCTCAAGTTCAGGATTCTGCCTTTGGAAGAACGTAGCACGAAAGCTTAATCCCGTCATTTAGGGTTTCCGGTTTGATGGCCGGGCCGGCGCATGTCTCAGGATACACGTTTAACGAGTCGGAGCCATCGACCTAGCATGTCGAAAACGTTGCGATTTCGCGGCCAATCTGTCGGAGCTCGAGGCATTCAGCAAGATAGGTTGAAATCGGGACCTGAATGTATGCCCGGCACGTATAACCATACTAGAATACTACAAAGATTATCACAAGTGTCCGACATCGGGACCTCTCGTGTTCGAGAATCTTGCATCTGGAAATCTGGACTCAGTCGAAGCACAGGCTCTGGGTCTCTGTAGGTTTGGGCTCTGCGTGGCGACCGAGATCCGAAAGAAAAGGCCTAGGCAGTTTGTGCCGGCCTTGACAGATGTCTGTAACTGCAATGAGCTTGAGGCGAGATTCTGAGAGCCCCAAGTGCAGGTGCATCCATCCCTCCGTGTGCCTCGCACCTTCAAGCGCTTCGCAGGCCAAGAGGGATCCAAGAAAAGTTGTACATCTTGACGAAGCCCACAGGGGAGATTGTCAAGGTCATGGCTATGGGGTGTTTGGAATCAGGTCGGGTCCCACTCCGTATGTATTCTCGAAACGTGAGTCGTTCTCGGCGGCGCCAAAGCCCCGAACTGCTGCGGAAAGCACTTGTGTGCTGGGATTGTCGATCTCGGGCTGCGCACAAATTCTATATCGCTGCTGTCGTGATCCATCACCTACTTGTAACATCCGTGGTCCAATTCGTTAGATCCTTGAGAGCACCCAGCGACCCGAGATCTCGTAAATACGTGTTTGGCAAGTTCGGGGCGGTTTTCATCAGCTGAAGGCTCTGGAGTGGATTGAGGCAGGTCGTCGCAGGCTTCTGCTTATGCGGTATGCCCGCACTATCAAACTGCCTCTTGAAGCTGCAGGCTAGGGTTGTACATTTGCCCCGGAACAAAGTGGAAGCGAGGACTCTGTGTTGAGCTGCTGCAGCGCCAGAAGATTCGCGCTGCGGGTGCCAATGAAACACTTATGAAGGCCACCACTTTGAACCCCAAGTTACTTGCGATTAGGACTTTTGGAACTTCAGAGCATGAGCATTGGTCAGGTTTCAAACTTTGGGGGCAAGTGCTCTGGGGCTTAGAAGTATTCGCCTCAACATGTTGGCATCAAGGAGGAATGGCGGTTGCATTCCGATCTTGATTATTCTGCTTCTTCTGTTTTGCAAGTCGGAGTGATTCTTCAGCCAACTTCGCGAGAACCGTAGAATGTTCGACCCATGACAGCCGGATTACTACCGACAGAGATGTCGAGTTGGCAATGAAAGCAATGAGCTCGAAGTTGAAGGAGAGGATGGTGATGATGCCAATGCTGCTGATGATGATGATGATGGCGATGGTGATGGCGATGGTGATAGTCATGATGGGGATGGCATTGACGAAAGCGTAGTGCTTGCAGGGCCGGTCAAAACTGCGGCCGGAATTCAGACCTCCATTTCCAGAAACACCATACTTCCAGGAACCCAAGACGCGGGTCCCGAATTTGAACAGCACAAGCATTGACTCTAACTCGTTGGCATTTTTTCCCTGAGAGGTGGTTTCAAATCCTGTGGAGAAGTACTTACCACCTGGATGCCGCCGCTTTGGCATGTCAGTCAGTGGCCGGCCAGCCAGAGCCTCAGGACTGACACCTCGCACCATCCTTCTTCTTGCTCCTCCGTTTCTGATGTTGATGATAGTGATGATGGTGACGGTGATGGGGCTGATGATGATGAGGAGGAGGACGACGAGGATGGAAATGCCGTTTGAGATCCGAGATACTGTCGACGACAATGTTGAAAGCAAATGATGGTCGATACCTATGTTGAAGATGATGGCCAGACTGATGGTGAGGAGACGACGCAGCGTTTTCCGCTGGCGATTTCGTCGTTGTCAGTTCCGCCGTGGCATCATCATCATCATCATCACTGGAAGCAGCCTTAGCATCCTCATGATTGTGACGATGAGGAACTACAGGAAAGAACGTGATGTTGACCATGGCGTTGAGAAGGTGAGCATGAAGATTGGTGAGAAGATGTTGTCAGGGTGGGAGGCACGTGCTGCTTCTGCAAGCTATCGCTATCGTCTGCAGTGTGCACCGTTTGGCTTGCGCCACAAGCGCCAACACGGTGCGCTAAAGCTTGTGACAGGGGGTCTACACATAGCTTCTCATGAAACCGATTAGCCGCTAGAAGAGTAATATTCGTGTTTGCTGTTACAGAAGGTATTTTCTGACTTGGTGACCCTGCAAAGCTTTGGAGCTTGCGTTCTCAAGATATTACAAACTCCTGTGCCAAGCTGGCCAGTCTTCTGCTGCACAAGTCTGGCAAGAGCCACCAAGCAGTTGTGCAGACTTCTGCTCTAAAGTCCGTTACAAACCGCAAGCCACTGAGAGTTAAGATGCGACCAGGACACGTGAGCTATGCTTGTGCCGAGTTTGATCGTGTCCTCAGTTTTGCCAGGTCAAGATGCGAGAATTTGCTGCAGAGCTGGATGCTTCCGGGCAGATGCCTCGTCCTGGGGTGTCGCCATTACAATGGCACAATTGCTGCAAGACCACCCAAGCACGGGCGGGCTACCAGGGAATCCAAGCAGAGCTTAACTTGGTGCATGTGCTGCAGGGAACTGGCATGTTTATGAAGCTTAGCTTTATGCTCACGGGCACCGGTGAATGCAGCACGAGCCAAAGAGTCCGAAGTCATTCGGGCATATTGATGTACTTTTCTGCCTGTGCTATCTGCTATCCTCTGCACATGTTCATGTTTCGTCGGTGCTTCTGTGCGCAGGGCTTTGCTGCATCTGCTATCCTAGTCGTCGTCGTCGTGTATCAGACGGCGGCGCTGGCGTAAGCGCAGCGCGGCTACCGGTGTCTTGCAGTGAGAGGGTGATCGCACCCGCAGGCGCTCAATCAATCAATCATGTTTACTGATGTGGCACTGTTGGTGGCATACGGCTCTTTGTTTAGGTTCCCAGTTTTGGGGACTACATGGATTCGGAGGGGTGCAGGCAGGAATGGTAGAGCCCAACCATCCACACGTGTAAGTTGTGGGTTACTTACAGGCACGAGATTTTTGATCAACAGCCATGGCCTAAGTCAACAGCCAGGGTCGAAGACTTAAGACAGAGCCACCCCGCATCAGAGGATCTCTGAGTGAAAGAAACCTCCAACTAGAGAGAGGGATTACTAGATGGGAACTTTGAGGCAGTCCATGCCAGTTCCCATTGTCTTCGCCGTTGGTGGGAGCCTCAGATTTCAGACGCTGTGATGTGAACCCGGATCCCGGCAATCTCGAACCTTACAAGCAAAGGACTAAGCCAAGGGACCGTCGGTATCGGAAGTAAAAGGCAGGCAACAGACATGTCAGTGTCGGCGTCGGGCTAAACACCCCGGCCTTCAGAACTAGCATTTGTCGCAGGGATAAGTCCGAATCTGGACATGCCTGGACCTGGAGTGTGAAGGAACAGTCAGCACGGTATCCAAAGAGTCCAATGAATGGGGTGGGCATGTCGCAATTTGTGGAACTGGTGACCAGGATGGGATGACTTTCGGAACCTCAAACCCTCAACAGCTTTGGAGTTTAGATATTCGGCTCATTGTTTTTTGGATGTAGGGTTCTAGCGCAGGGGTGCGGCTTGAGCACTCACAACAGATTCAGGGCCCCGTCGTAGCAAGCTCTCCTAGAGTTTCTTAAAGATCACGCCCCTGAGCCCCGAATCCAAAATTCACCCCCTAAGCCTCCCGATGCAAAGCATCGCAGGTGGAGTGGCACGATCCGACCCTGTCACAGAGGCGACCTTCGGCGCAAACTACGTCGAGGACGCCTTGCTCTGGAAAGGTCAGCATGTCCACGCAAAAGTGGCACTTTTTCTCTGGTGCCGAGCCTGATTGCCCAGAGGCAGGCGCGTATGCAACGGCCGCGGGGGGGACTCTGTTATTCTTTGGCGCGTTCCAAACGTCTCCCCCGCAGGAGAACGTCTCGATTTCGCCCTATGGACTCTCTGCTTCGTGCGTGTGCTCCAAGCGTCTTGGCCAAGTTTACTTCTGGTTGATGTCTGCACACTTGTGCTTTTTTCGACAGCTTAAGGCCGACATTGCTGTTTCCACAGACAAGCTTACCATCCGCATGTGAGCTGCGCCCCGAGCACAAAGCCCTCAGATGGAACACTGGAACACCCAGCACCCAAACCCGAACTTCGGCAAAGAGCTTCTTGCCGCGAAGTGGGCAGAGAAGAGCCCTTCACGATCTGCCTGTCTTTCGGTGCTGCGTTCTTCAGGTTTCTTATGGGATGTGCAGGATTGTCGGGTCCAGCTGGGCACGTAAAACTCGGAGTCATGGGCTCCGTGCGGACTGCAAGTAGGCAAAAGAAGCATCATTATTACTGTCACAGGCGCTCTCTCTCTCTCTCTCTCTCTCTCGTATTTTGGTAATTCAGGGGTTTGCTATATGAGCGACAGGTGCCTCGTTCTGGTTCTTTGGTGAACCGAGAGCCGATTTAGGAGTCACTGCGCAATACACTTAATATAAAGAAGAACTGCCGAGGATCTGCAATGAGCTCCAGCCTCAGCAAGCTACCTCTACGACCAGTTGCATCCATGACCTCGTGCCCAAACCGTTTGAAGAACTCTACAAGAATGATCGCAAAGCTGGATGATGTAGAAGGGCTTGCTTTGATGATCTCGCACTTTTCTCGCAAGGATTCTCTCTCATCTCCCCAAGAGTTCATACATGGATTCATCTGAACGCTCCCATTTTTCGAAGATGATACCGCGAGCTAGCTGATACTCGAAAGCTCGCCGAAAGCTCGCTGAGGTTCGAGCATCTCTGGGGCATTTGCTGAGACGGCTCAGATGGCAAGACCAGCTGCAACAGCTTCCTCGCCATCAAAGGGGTATTGGATTTCTCGTTCAGCCAACCCACATCCCTGGACCCTAAATACGAATCCGGAATTCGCAGGCACTCTCGGCACATGCCAAACAGCCTATCGGAGTCTATCGTAGCTGCCAAGCAATTGAACTTCGAGTCAGAGCCATTGCAGAAATATTGAAGGACTTGTGGCTCTGGTCCTCAGTCTCAGGATCGAAGTTCGAGATGTGTGAAATTTCGGAACCTTAATGGTAAACTCGACGGACCTAAAGAGACGCTCAACTCCTGAATCCGTGCTTGCCGGGGCGCGCCCAGCACATGCCAGCGCGGTGATGAAAAAGGTAGTCGGACCGCTCGAGCTGCTGATTGGCTCAGACGTTATGACTCTTTTCAGGCCCATGCCCATCGATTTGAATGCCTCTGTAAGGGGGCGAAGCCCATCGCTTGGAGTCCGCGGATTGTGAATAGGCAGAGGAAGCTTTGGGACGTATGTGGAGGGTTTGATACACTGCTCGAAGTTGGTTGCACTGTTCCATTAACCTTCTTACCACTGGGTATTCGAATTCTCTCTCTCTCTCTCTCTCTCTCTCTCTCTTTCTCACCCTCATGATTCGTCTTCAATAAACGTCTGAGGGTGATGATGATAACGATTGTTACCAAGCCCGAGCTTCCGCAACTGTACAAACCCGTAGGGGTTGTAACAGTAGTCAGTACTGCTACCTACTACTACCACCACCACCACGACTACTACTCCTCCTCCTCCTCCTGCTGCTGCTGCTGCTGCGACTTCTGCTACTACTGCTACTACTGCTACTGCTACTGCCACCACTGCTACTACTACTGTTATTATTCTTACTACTACTACTACAACTACTACTACTACTACTACTACTACTACTAGTACTACTACTACTACTACTACTACTACTACTACTACTACTACTCTACTAGTACTACGACGACGAGGAGGAAGATGAAGTTGTGCTAGCAGCAGGGGTCGTAACTAGCAGTTAGCTAGCCAGCCAGCAGTTCGTTACTTACTCTACGGGTTATCAGTTCTTTAGTCAGCAACAGTAAGTAGGGCCACAGGTACAGGGAAGCCTGGATCAAGAGTCGAACCATGGGCACGGGCCCCGCCGACGTTTACGGGTTTGAGCAAGCCAGCTTTGCTGACAACTGTGGCTTTTCAGGTTCAGGAATTCGTGCCTATAGCAATTCAAAGTCTGCTTCTGGGGCAGGTTAGGGCTGTGGCAGCCTTCGCTTGCAAAGCCTGAAATATCTGGAGCATTACGAGCATACCCAGATTCATGTGTAAGCCTGGGCCGAACCTTCACCGACCAGCGGCCTAACCTCCACGCCAAATTGAAACATTCGAGTCTTGGGTCTCAAGAGCCAAGGCACTGTCACACGCGGAAGTCACGCGCAAATGAAGGAAAAAATCGGCAAGCATACACGTTTGCACACACTCATACATGTCATATAGATGTGTATGTATATATATACACACATATACATCAGGTGTAAGCCTGGGCAACGCTCAGCTTCAGACCAAGCAGCGTGCTGAAGAAGAAGAAGAAAGAGAGAGATAGAGAGATGTACATATATATATATACATATTACACATACGTCCCGAGAAGCATAAGCCCTCAGCCTCAGCAACGAACAAAATCAACCTGCACTTTCAGCTGCTGAGCGTGAAACCCATGCTTCAGTGCTAGTACCTCATCACAAGTTTGCAGTCCTCAGTCCTCATCACAGAGCAATAGACGCTTCACAAAACCGAACCTTAGGTCGAACATCCTGCAACTACATTCACCAGAACCAAGACAGTCAGAAATCGCAAACCCTGTCACCTCTGGCAGCCCGAAGCCCTTAAGTCCATCCTGATGCCCTGAAGGACTGCATGAATCCCAAGCCCTAAGGTCGACCGGTCCCGGCCCCGCCTCAGGGTGTGGTAGCCTGGTCCCTACAGCAGAACCTGCAGACTAGGGGTGTCCTCTGTTTCTTCGGGAACAGACTCGGCCTTTCCTTCGGAAAGCTCTGTTGCCTAACTTTTCCGGCTTCGGCCTTGGTGAAGTTTTGGCAGAAAGATAACACTATTATGACATGCAGAGTTTAGGGCTTTGGTTTGAGGGCCGGTTCGAGGGCTGTGACCCTTCAGCAAAGGAGGCCCCACGAAGATTGATCTAGGTGTCGATGCATGAACATCATGAACATGACTAAAGGAGTAGGAAAGCCCGCAGAAACAGCAAGTCATCGAGCCTCCAGAATCCGGAGTCGATGAAACGCAGTACGGCCAGTCAGCACCAGCAGCAAGGAAGCTTGGAATCTGGCACTCGCATCTTGAAGCCCGCTTCCGTTCTTTGCACCATGCGTTGCATTCCCTCATTAGGTTAAAGCCGATGTGGCATGTTGGCTGAGCACATTTGCGACATCCTCGCTTTTGTGTGATCGCAGTCGCTTCATGACACGATGTTCCAAGGCTGGACCCTGCATAGACAATCAGGTGCCTCAGGCGCGTTTTGCATTGAGCTTACGGCTACGAGTGAGCGTAAGAGGTTCAGTACGAGCAGTATGCTGAAGCTTATTTCGAATTTCTGTAGAACTTGACGCAAGACCAAACGCAGGTTGACTTCCCGTAAACGACACCAAACAAGGAGCATCGCCAAAGTGTAAGATCTTGTGCTGCGAGGTTAGCAGGGTTTAGACTTTACGTAGGACGTGCAGCTTGTCATTTCTTATGCTCAGAAATCTGGAACTCTGTCCTCAGATTGGCGTGTGCGGCAAGGTGAAGGAATTATCCTAGGCTCGGGATGAATGATTTATTATCCCCACCAGATTCACAGCCTCTCCAAGCTGCACTCTCTCAGCCCGACACCGTTTCCCCATCGCCAAGGGTCAGCCCGAAGCATCTTGTCGAACATGAATCGCAGAGTTGTGCAGTATGCAGACGACTTCAGTGAGCACAAGCTCTGCTGGAGGCGGCGAAAGCCCCGACCCCAGCGCCAGCCGTAGACTTGCTGGACGTCGGCGCTGAGGCCGCCCAAGTGGTTTGTTGACCCAGCCAGCGATTGGTCGTCACGATAAAGAGAAGACTTGAAGATGACGACCATGCACGCGACCGAGATGATGCTGATGATGATGGTGACGATATTGTTGATGATGGTGACGGTGTTGTTGATGATGGTGATGATGATGATGATGATGATGACGGAAGGTGGTGAGGACGACAGCGATGTACCCAGCAGGACAATATTCGCGCGTTTTCCAAATCCATATCGTTAAGCACTTTGAAAGCTGGAAAGATGATTGAAATGTCTCTTGACTGATGAAGGCTGAGAAGCCAAAGGCAAGCAAAGCGGCGCCTGCGCAGGACGGGCCCTGGGCGCCCAGGGCATTTGAACTGCTGGGAGAAGGGCTTTTGTTAAGAACTGCTCCGGTGTAGGGTTCAAGGTTGCGGGAGTTCCGCCGCCTTACGCTACGAGACCCTCCACACCTGTGCACCAGGTGAGTTGTAATCTCGCGTGGTAGGTCGGGCCGACTGCGCAAAGCTTGTAGAGTTGCAGGTTTCGGGTCACCCGAAGCTTGGCAGCCCCAGTCTTATCCCTGAGCCTATCCCGACTGCAGACGGACCTGCTCAATTTCGATGGCCCGGCAGTGTCCAACTCAAAGGACACGGCTGCAGGGGTTTGGATTTGTATTTTGAGTCTGCTAAGGCTTTACATTGACTCACGGTTAGGTTCGGTTTGGGCGGCGGCCATTCTTTCATCCCAGAGGGTGGACTGTCACTCAAGGGGCCAATCTACGCAGCGCTCTGGGAAATACCAAAGTTGCACAAACCCTAAGTTGCAAAAGGTGTGCTGCTCACCGTTGCCACGTGGCGACTTGGGCAGTGTCTGTTGCACTGCTGAAGAACACTGCTCTGAAGCGATGTTCAAGCCGAATACTCATGTAAAGCTTAGTATGGAGAGCTCTCGGAAACCATGCATAAACCTGAGGCCTTGAGACAAGTTGCCAGGAGCCCAGCGCGTATTTCCTTTCCCCTGCCGCGAAGCCGAAACCCCTCTTCCTGTCTCAATTCTCACATATTGCCGTTCTTGCGAAGTGCAGGAGACAGACCTGCTGGGTGGAGGCCTTCTCAGAAGCCCTGCTGATGACGGTGGTGACGAGTGGTGATGATGATGATGGTGATGATGATGATGATGCCAATGATGAATATGATGGCGATTGTCATCGTAGTGATTGTCATGGTGATGGTGAAGACGGTGGCGATGATGAGGGGGAGAATGAGAAGGACGAAGATGATTGTGACCGTGCAGATGGCCGTCCGTTTCTGCGACCGCTAACATCGTCACAGCGAGCCTCGTTTGGCACCAAAGCATTGGAGTCCAACAAGAGAACTTCTAAGCTTCCCGGGGTCTTACACCCCTAAAGTTAAACCCACGGATTCCAGCTTGACCATCTTCTGTGAAAGGCTGCTTGGACCGTTTGGTTCGAAGCTTTGGTTCAGAGTCTACATTTCGCAGCCTTCGGGCTTGCCGGGTTCTTGACCCCCGAGCACCGTGTTGGTGGTGCAACCCGCAGAGGGCCTGCTTTACGAGTCAGGTCCCTAGTGCAATCCCTCCGCGTGAAAGCTTGGCGCACCTCATCATTCACAGAGCCGAGCTCATTTTGGTGAAGCCTGTGGTTGCCGAGACCATCAATCACACACGAAGCACTTGAAAGGGATAGCACTACAACGGCTCAGCATGCAGGTTCCGCAGCAGGCGACCTTCTTGGCCTTTCTGGTGGAACTGCGAACCAGGCCAGCCCTTTTAGATTCTAGATTCTTGTGATGATATGGAGATGTTTTCTTGGAACAAGGCCATTGAGCGAGGCGTATATACGGGTTTGGGGAGGTTACTGGCGGTTTAGTTCGCTGGTCATATTCGACCCGAGACCCGCAAGCAAACTCAGCTGGAAGCAGCCCAGCTG